CACCTCTTTCCAATTTTGGAAATGCTTCCTTATATACACTTGCTTCTATGTATGACATGAATAAACAATCAGTAGCTCAGAGTGTCCTCCCTAGTGGCTTTCTCAGTCATTTTAATGTTATTGGGCACCATCTCTTTCTTTCGAACAAAGATTTCAAGGAGGTGGGTTGTGTCTTTTAGTCTGTTCAAAATTTCATATATTTTTTTACTGAAATACAGCTTAGTTACTAAGCTTGATAAGTTAGTGGAATTCTGTGGTCTTGGTATATTAATTTATGATTTTTTGGAAATTCAACTATTATATAAAACCTAAAAAAAAAAATATTTTGTTTCACATTCTCCACGTGCAAAATTTGTAAAGGCTTAGCAACTGACTACAAAGGTCGTAACTAGAAGAGATGCTTGTTTGCTTGAATTCTGTATTTACAGTTCTATGTTTTCAGAAAAATAAGTTTAAGAACTTATTCCTAAATAGCAATAATCTATATACATATATAATATATAATAATTGAAATGTAACTGTATTTTACAAAATATTAGTCTACTAAAGCACAGCCAAGACGGATCACTTTGTAAAGAGTAATGGTCAATTTTATATTATTGGATACGGTAATATGAGTGCACGTGTGCCGTGTCATTGTAACTTCTGTATTCTAAGTCTGGTATGGCTGAAAGGTCAATGTATATATAAATGTATAATGTTATGAGATTTAAGCTATTTAGTCTTAACATTTGTTTTCGTTTTATAATTTGTAGTCATTCTAGAATGAAAAAGGCTTATATTTATTTCCTAATTTTTTTAACGTGGTTACAAGATTGGTCAGAGATTTGTTTCTGAATATAACAGATAAAATAGTTTTTTTCTTAAACATTTGATAACTATCTAGACATTATAAAGATTTTGCTTGTGAAATTTTAAAATTTTCTGAACCATAAAAGTAATTTTAATCTTAAAATGAAAATTACTTTGCATGTTGGATAGGCAACATGTGAAAAGAAAAAAAGGCATGAGAAAAACATTGATTTACAAACCTTAAGACTTAATAATAAAAGTTTATATTTTGCTTATGAAAGCATTTTAATGTATACTGATAATCTGTCAAATTTTGTTAATATACACTATAATTTAAAAGTTATAGCATGAAAACTATAACAAGCACAAAATGGTTGATGTCGGTCCGAGGGACTGAGCCCGTGTTGAAAAAGTTAAGGGGCCCTGACATGACTCTTCACCATGTGCTTTTTAAGATGTTTAGGTTGAAAATACTAAATACCTTTTATATCTTTATTGCACATTAACATTTTATTCATTTAAAAAAATCTTTATTTAATGTGAAAACTAATAATTACGCAGTTTTACTAATCTTAAAATTTGACATAAATAACACTTAATTTGGGTATGAATGAAAATACTTGTTTTCTGAAGGTATTGGAGTTGGCTGGTAATGCTAGTAAAGATCTCAAAGTAAAGAGGATAACCCCACGCCACCTTCAGTTAGCTATTCGTGGAGATGAGGAGTTAGATTCTCTGATTAAAGCTACTATTGCTGGTGGAGGTAAGTATAATCATTTTTATATTGTTAGATCTGGTAAAATAATGGATATGATCTATAATTTGGTTTGTAATCACAGCTACTGTTATAATGACTCCGCTGTTTTAACCCTCTGTTCCAGCGTAGTTGTATTCAGCATAAGGAAGTTATAAGTATTGATAATATATCAGAGAAATAAGTAATAGTTTCACCTTCCTCAAAGTTATGTTCAGAAAACTGCCACTTTTCAACAACCAAAATTTGTAATGTCCTTATGGACTGTATTCGTTAAGTTCAAACCTGTTGATTTTACTAATAAGTGTTGGTTATTTTCTAAGAGACTTTTAGCAGACACTACATTTTTCTCTGTTGTAAAACACATTACACTTAAACATTTCCTGATTTATGAAGGTTATAGTTGTATTGTTCTATTTGCTTCTCATTGATTCATAATACTGACTTCTGTATTGATGCTGACTGAAATCTCCCACAATAACTTGTGTTATATGAATCTTCATATGTTACAAGGACTAAAACAATACTTTCTGTATTGTAAGATTGTATAACAACTTTCTTCATGTATTAAGTAATGGAATTCTATTTTCATCTTATTATATTATATCCTATATTACTATTTAATTAATTATAAAAGAAAACTTTCTTGCACTTGCAACTATTACTATATATATATTATTTTTTTTTCTTACACAGGTGTTATCCCTCACATTCACAAGTCCTTGATTGGTAAGAAAGGATCCCAGAAAGCAGCATGAACTTAACAGACCAGAGTCTTATGAACTTTCACCAATAATCATTCATTTTAAGAATTGTGGTTCACCAAAAACTGCTCAGTGTTCATTCTTTTTTAAAATTTTTACTTTCATCATATAAGTGTGCATGTTTATCACATTGCAAATTGGTGTATTTGTGTGTAGTGAAAATGACTTGTTATTGTATTCATGTATCATAACTATAGAATCTGTCCCTTTTCTTTATTAACATGACTTGTTGACATTTTGATTATTATACTACAACTCATTATTGAGATATATAGCAATTGTCCAGTTAAATGAATTTTTCTTGTAGATACTAGATTGTCAATGTTTTGCTAGATTTATGAAGCTTTTTTGATTTAAAAAAAAAAAAATTGTATCTATTCAAATAGTATGTTATTCATGCTTCTTAAATTGATGTAATAATTTTGATATTTGTTATGGTTTAAGGTGCAGTTTTATTTCAAATCCAAAGTAGATCCCATATGCATTACACAAATTTGCCCGAATGACTTTATGGTGATGGAAGAACTTTAATTTGCAGTTGTTAGTTTTTCTTGCTAGACCTGTGTTTCATATATTGAGATACATGCATTAACTACCATATAATGTGTTTGCATCTGTAAATGTTTTTTCAAGTAGAATTTTTATATAAAACTTTTTGTTAATCCTGGATTTAAATTTTAATTTTTCACTGCACACAAATTGTGTATATGTATATCAAAAGTCAACTGAAAAGTGCAATTTATCTTAAATCTTTTTTTTTATTTTGAGTGGAATCAGGTCATTTAAAGAGAATTAAAAACAAAAAAAACACAATAGTAGTTAAAGGCCACTGCTTTTACTAAAAGCAAAATTAATGTCACATGATCTTCCACCTGTATTTTGGGTTTAGGCTATTTCATTGTTTCAAAAGTTTGTCTCGTTTGATCATGTCAGCAACAGAGAAATACTAAGCAATCAAAAACCCTATATATGAAAAATATAAGCATATGTGCTGAGCATTCAAAGTGTAGGTATGTTCTGGGGGATTTAAACTGTATTTTAGATTTTTAGTATGTTAAAGTAAAAAATAAAGAAAAACTGGTAGGAAAATTACATACATGTTAGAATCAAACATTTAACTACATGCCAAAAAAAATCTTGGAAGACCTGCCTGAGGACCCATGCATAATGACAATAGAAATTTTAGATAACCTTTTGAGGTACATTACATTGCAATGTGTTCATTGAAAAATAAAACAAACTTCATTTCATGTACCCTTTCTTAGTATGATGTTTTAAGACCAAGTTTTAAGTTCAGTCATAATACTTGTGTCCACTTGAACTGAAATCACTCAAGTCATGGGTCAGTGAAGCCAAGAATGATGTAATTGACATATGTTCACTGAAAAATGGCAAGAATAGAAAGTGGGTCCAGACAGATGGCATTAAGTTAGTCAAAATAAAGATTAGAACCAGGTTATGGAGGGAAAGGTCAACACAGCTGAAGAAGTGGAATGGGTATGCAAGTAGAGATGGTATGGGCAAGAGCAGTTTGGAGAAATGGACATCTAGAATTTTGAATGGTCAGCAGTAAAAACTGGTTGATCTAATCCATTCATAGCAGAATGTGAAGCATACAAGCATTCACTTGTATTGTTGACAAGTAACATTGAAGTTCATGGTAGTGTCATATTCCTGACAGACTTGCTATACCTTATAAGAAAACTGGAGATAGGTTTTGTACAAAATACACAGGTGAACCTTTTGAGAGATTCAAAGGTTCATCTGGTAACTTTTATTCCAAGACAACAGTGGCACGTCATTGAATGAAAAAGTGGACCACCTTGTTGGTAAGGGAAACTTGGTAAGATCACAAATTGATACCAGTGAAATAGCACGTAGATTGAGAGAAGAGGAAAAGATGGAACAGAGGTCACACTGGTCAACTGGAGGAAAGAGGGTGAAAGTATGAGGGAAGAACAGGTGCTACTTAAATCAAGTTGAACTGAGAGTTGGTATTGTATGGAAAAAATATTTCGATATACATGGGTTTCATTCTAAACTACTGAAAAAGTGTTAGAAAAAATGTTTTATGTCCATGATTAACTTGAAGATGTGAAACATGTACTTGTTAATAAGTAAAGGTTTTAACAAGTGGAAAGCAAATTTACTGAGATTTACACATAGATAGGTAATTTTTGCAAGCTGCTTTTTCAGCTACAACCAAAGAGGCACTAAGATTACAAGGGAAGCTTTTTATGCAAAAAACAAAGTTTTAAAGTACATGCAATTGAATAGAACAGTCTTCACTTAAGTTGCTATCATAATAAGTAACAAGATCTTTGATTATGTTTTACCAAACCAATGAATTCTTTTGAATTTATGTATTAAAACAAAGCATTACTTGAAACCGTTGGTACTTGATGAAACTCCATAATTACAGGATTGAGAAGAAAAAAAAGACAATTGTATGTTTCACAAATACTTCAGTTATTAATAACCATGGTTGTTAATATATGAGGTATTTAGGAAATGTCTTGGTTTTTTCCTTAATTCTGTAACCTGAATTATATTAATGTGGGATATTGTAATATTTACATTCCAATATATTAAAATGCTTCACAATTAAGATAAAATAGTACTATTGATTAATGCTTACAACCTACTCAAATGGCAAGGTATAAGCATTCAAAGGTAGCTATTTTGTTTATGTATGCCTGATTTCAAAACTGATTATAATCAACAAGCAAAAGTACCCATCCACAGTGATGAAAAAGATTAAGTTAATCTCACAATTTAAACTATTTCATGGATTTAAAAAACTTAATTATGTTGCACTCTTGGTTTAACTTGGAGCCAAAGCTTTGAGCTACTTGTACTACCCATTTCGAAAAGTAATTGTTGAGCATTTCAATCATAATAATATACAGTAAATCTTCAAGTTACATCACATTTTGAAATGTGAATGATACTGTGACTAATTCCTAACAATTTAGTGTGGAATAGCCTGCTTGCGAAATAAAATTTGGCATCAACATTATTCATGCCTGTTTTCCCATCATTTCAAAAGTGAATGTTGAGCTTTACCTACGTGTGTAGCTTTTCAAATGGGAAATACACAAATGCTCTGACAGACACCACAGTTTGCAATATATAAAATAGAAGAATTTCTCTCAACTTTCATAACTTCTAATGCAACATGTGGGTAAGACACTTTAATTATATGACTTGTAAATTTTTAATATATTGTGATTTTGTTTTCTTAACAACAGGATGATACCTGGGATGGAAAGGTTGGCATAAGAGGACAAGTTAAGATTTTTTGAAGTTTTCTCTTGAGAAAAGAATTGTTATATGGGATTTCATTGAGGTGTGCAAGATTATTAAAAGTTGATGCATCATCTTTTTTCGTACTTGATGATGAAATTGTTAGGACTAGGGAACATTTTGGCAACATAGAATTAATCTTCAGCTAAGACGGTTTTAATTTTTCTAACAGGATAGTTGACCTTTGGAATGGGTTGCCTTGAGATGTAGTATGGGCAGCAAATTTAAAAGTTTTGATAAATATGTGGACAAGGGTAGCTTTGTATTTATATATATATAATTTAGTAGATGGACGAACAGGTCCCTTGTTGTCCTTTATAAATGAACATTCAGTAATTTTAGATTATTAACTAGTTATCTGGATACTAAAAAGAACATGCTTTTATATTGGACCTCTCACAGTGACTACCTTAATCAATGTTAAATATGTATAAGCATTTCAAAAACAACTTGAAGTGCAAAACTGTTTTTATTTCATTCTACAAAAAAGCTTTTAATGGTATCTTGAGAAAATGATTTCTGTGCTCACTAATTTAGACGTACAAAAGATTCAGAATTTCCTTAAGCCTTTTAAAACTAAAGCATTTCTATCAACACAATCAAGTAAAAGGAGAAACCATGTGTAGTTTGTCATCCATAGTTGAATCTGTGGTGTTCAAATTGATGTTTTGTTTTATTATTCACCGTTATTAATTTGTAATATAATGCATTTAAAATGCTCTGATTTTGTTCATTATAATTTGACACAAACAGTACATGTACTTTGTTTCGTTGGCAACCTAAGTGTTAACTGTCTAAACGCAATATTACAATCCTAAAGAATAAAATGAAACAAGCAAGTAGTCATTATACTAAAGAAAATAAGTAAATGAAAGATCATAAATATATTGTAATATATCATTTAGAAATATTGGAACTTCAAGCCAGTTCAAATATGAATTGTAACAATCGTCAAATTACATTACCTGGGTAATTTGTTAAAATATATATAAAGATATTTGATATTACACTATATCAACGAATAAAGAAAATTTTTACCTATTCTACAGTATTCCTGCACGTTTAGTCAGAAAATGATATCCATTCTTTTCCATCACGTACACATTTTTCACAAACCATCATAACATAATATGTAGTTTTGATACTAAAAGACGTAGATTTTACAAAACATCAGGATGCATATTCGTTTGACATCGATATTCTTTCCTTCAGTGTGTTTATATTTTTGTTAACAAACATAATAACAAGAAATGTTCATTGTGGTAAACGATATAATTATTTGATCGAAGTAAGTTTTTCTTCCCGATTTGTAAAAAAAATAAAATAATTAAAGCTGTGTGTCAACTCCACAACTTTGTTGGTTGGCAATCTGATGGTCGCGGATTCGAATCCTTAACCAACATGCTCGTCTTTCAGCCTAGGGTGTGTTATAATGTAACGGTCAATCCCACTGTTCGTTGGTAAAAAAAAGTAGCTCTAGTGTTGTTAACTAGCTGCATTCCCTTTAGTCTATCACTACTAATTAGGGACAGATAGCCCTTATGTAATTTTGCGTGAAATTCAAATAAAACAAAACCACAACATAGCCTGGACAGTTGTTAAACTTCGTAGACTTAAATCACACCAGTAAATCAATTTAGGGATGACGAGTAACCAGTTAGATAAATTTCAAACCGTGAAACTCCTAAATATTTTGACTAAAAAAGAAAACAATATGTTTTGTACAATTACCTGTATATATAATAATGATGATGTGGATACTACATGGAATGTTATGCCAAGAAATACAACCAATGCAGCGTGAATTATAGTTAATGTCGGAAAATAGTTTTGTAGTTTTGGCACAATTGTTAGAGTGAGAGATGTGAATAGAAAATCTAGCCTAACAGAATAATTTCCTGTGATACGATTTTAGGTCAATATATAAAAGGTTTATCTGCTATTTAGATAAGGTTACACGTAAAAACTAATCTGATAAAAGTTTGAGTAACTACTAAAGGATAGATTATTTGAGTTCTTGAACCATTGACTCTCCAATCATATAGTTTGAACGCTAAGCGATCTCAGAAGAAGACTAAGGTTCTTCCAGATAAGACAACAGGAAAGAATTTAACTGAGATTTTGTTTGTAAAGGTTATTTAAGCGTTGAAGTGAACAAAGGAACAGAAATAAATGTGGACTTTTGAAAAACAACTGAAGGCGAGGAAAAATTTCAATTACATTATTTTAGTCTTTGACTCTTGTAAATATATGTTGTCAGCATGCTTGAGATTTTTATTAAGGTAGAGTTATAAAAACAAATATTTCCAGTTCAAATAACTAGCGATCTAAGATTCGTTTGTAAGAAAGTTTTATTACGGATTAAAATGTCTCGTTTTACTAATATGTGGCCCTAGAACAACCGGCAGAAATTTATATGGGCATTAACGGCTTTTTATACACACCTTCTAAAACGTATGCACCAAAGTGTTTCTGAGTCCATGACTTTGTTGGTTACAGCATCCCAAATAATATACAAGTCGCACAAAAACATTTTACTGGGAATATTGGAGTTAGTTCCACTAATCACTGATGGGGTTTCATATGCATTTGTTTTTACTAAGAATGAGTGATATCAACTCTTTTTTTTGGTCAGTTCTTTACAATTAGTAATAAAAGGCAAAAAACAAAATTATCCAATATGATGCAATAAGTGAAGCTCGCCGGTAGTGAACTGTATAAAAACAAGTCAGACTCTGAAGGTTGGTTTATTTTGGTTGTCCATTTCTTTAGTCAGATTATACTTTAACGCTAATTTTAAGAAGCACAGTTGTTAGAAAGTCTTTTAAACAGATCCATAAAAAGATAGAAGTATATGGTGCCATCTGTCGCTTGGCACAACAAATTGATAGGGAATATACGTTGAATAAGAATAACAGTTTTGGACCAATAGGTTAAAAAAAAACACGCATAAAAGTGTTATAATTCATATTGTTGGCGGAAATTATTATTTTTAATTGTTTTTCTTTCATATTTCTGATTTTCAAATTGATAAAAAGTCTTTTTAAATAAAAGTCGTTATTACGTGCAGCGAAAAACAAATTTGAAACGAGGTGACGGATAATAATGACTTTTATTTTAAAATATTTCTAAAAGAATTGAAAGATATATGAATGAGGCAAAACTTTCTTCAATCATTTAACGAAAATTATTTCTGAACGAGAAGTGCAGCTGTGAGTTTCACCAGAATGTGAGAGGAGAGGAAAAGCCTATTCAGGAAGGGTATTGTTTGTTTGAAGTTAAGCACAAAGCTACACAATGGGCTATCTGTGCTACAGGGAGAGTACCAGAAAAGGTAAGCGATATTTTACATGTTTAACTAGCCCCTAATAAATGTTAAGACTCATAACGTATGTAAATTTATATGTAGATTTATACACGAACTTTTATCTACGTTAAAATACTTTTATTTGCGTGCTTTCCGCCCTCATACCTGGGTCTTCACTGGACAACAACGTACTGAGTAATAAAAATTTGTAAACTGTGGGACTCCGTTTTAAAATAGGTACCTAGGCAACAGTAGTAATAATAACCGACTCTGGTATTAAAGTTATTAAATACATAGAATTATGATAAATATAGAATATAAATCGACTGCTTCGTTATAATAAACATAAGGAAAATACAATTATAGGTATAATGTATAAAGAAAATAAAGGAATTTTTCATACTTCAAATAATACATTGTAAAATCAAAGGTTTAATTTTACATCGAAACCACATACATGTAGATACTGTTTGTGTAAGTTTCTAAATATTGTCTTTAATATTAAATTATAAAGTAAGTGATTGATTATACTAATTAAATAGAGGGCTGAAGAAGAGTTTAGGTTTTATTCTGTACAAAGTTTTTTAAAAAAAACCTGCTGTTTCAAAAACTGTTTTGTTTTATATTTTTTAAAAAATAAAAAACGCATAAAAGTGTTAAAATTCATATTATTGACGGAAATGATTATATTTAAATGTTTGTTCGTACTAATTTCATATTCATATAACGCTTGAAAACAGTACGTCTTTCTTTTCAGTATTAGTACCTTTATGCATTTGACACGTATTGTTACATGAAAAGCGAAATTTTGATCTTTTCTGTTTAAAAATAGCTAAATATCGGCCTTCTCTTCAGGTAATACCTGGACAACGCTGGATAAGGATGGCTAGTGTTTTACATATATGGCTTATACGATTTCCCGTTGTCCAAGTAAGTTTCTAATTTCTATATATACGTCATTTCCGTAGTTGAAGAACTAACTCTTCCTGGTTTATGCAGTTTCTTGTAGATATCTTTTGAAATACCACATCAACAAGATGCAAGACCATTAAATAAAGCACAGTATGATATTTCCTGGCTTGAAAAGGTGGCAGTTTTCTTTCCTTAGATTCGCTTTAAAAGTAAAATTTTAGAGAAAAAACCACTTTCACAATATATGCTCTATACGGGTTATAACAGTGTATGTATGTCTTTGTGTGCCTTAAGAATAAAACACCACCTGTCTCCAGGGGCATTCGTAATTTTAGATCAAGACACACACATCATGAAAATAATATACAAATTAACTTTGTACTTGTGGTCATGACACACAAGACTTTTTTAGTAATCGTACAATAAATACAGCGACACAATTTTCAAGCCTCCCGGTGATTCAACAGTAAGTTTGAGGGCTTATAACGCTAAAATTCGGCGTTCGATCCGTGCGATGGGAACAGCACAGCTAATACACCGTGCAGCTTTGTGCTCAAGAACAAACATAGAAAACAAAATCAAATCCCAATACACAATTTGCGAGGAAACAAAATAAGAACAAAACAACTTATCCTTAACTCCGAAAGACTGGCATGTTTTCTAATACTGAAATGGTTTGCAAGTGCGCGATAATTACCATACTTCATGGAATATATTACGAATATAGTACCATTGCGGAACACGATGAACTCAAGTGAAACTAACAACTTACATTTTGAATCATTACTTCGTGTAGGAGTACACTCTTCTGTTATTTATGTATGTCACCATTTCGATCGCAATGTTATTTTTACTTGCTTTAGTGATAAACTAATATGCATGTGTTGTGTAATCAGCTTTTTTTTTTACCAAGAAAATACCAAACGTTGAAACCACTTCTACATCTTTACTAATTTATTTTGTTCTATATTGTTTAAAATTTTGCTTGTTAGGAAGACTACATATTTTTTTTTGCTGCGCATATACATCCAATTTTTCACAATCTCTTGGTTTCAAAATACTTAAGAGTTACAACTTTGTAAAGAAACTTACTAGTTATTGTTTCTTCTCAAAAAGAAAGTCATTAAAATTAAACAATTTTGATGTTACTTGAAACATGCAAGTTCGTCACACGTACAAATAAATGTAAAACAGAAACAACTTATTTGCCTTTGAGCCCTAAGAGTCAGTTGAAAAGTAAATATTAACAAAGGTTTAATTTATATATATTTAAAGGACGCCTCTTTTTCAGTCGTTATAGTTTTTCTAAATACATACGCAATACACATTTGTAAAACTTAAACAAAGCGATGTTATGAATATGAATTAATCAAACAATTCCAATAGATTTACAAGGTCTGATTGCAAATAAACACACACACACAAAAAAACAATATAAAGTACATGATTGAATTAAGAATACCAGTTAGTAAGTCTGAAAAAGCTATTCTATGGTTGAAAAAAAGGGATGTCTATGCAATAACTCTATAATGCTGACTTCAACTAACAGAAAAGAACAATTCAAATGGGGCAAATATTCACAAAAACTGCTAAAAAAATGCTTTATTAAACTAACCGCTCACGCAGAACTACTGAAACCTAGCGTTTTAAAATGCAAGATCATTCGAATTACGATATGTAACTCAAACACGCAAATTCGAGCACGTGTTAACGAACGTACTGGCATATTGACTAGGTTGTTAATATTGCCAGTGATAAAGAGTAAATTAGAGCTTTAAAGTTGGCAGATCGTAAAATCTACGTGTTCTCACAAATTGAAAATTAAATGCTGAATTCAGTGTCATTTAAGCAAGCTTAGATTTTAACAACTACACATTCAATGTCATTTCTAAGTACATTTGATTTCTAATTTCAAAATACTTGATCGAAGTTGCTTTCTAGAATATAACATTTCAGCATTTCCACTCAAGTAAATCATAAAACGATTCTGTTCTACTGAAACTGATTACTTTCTAAAACAAATATTCAAACTCTTCAACAGCCACGTTTAATTTAAAAAAAACACGTTTAGACTACGGAACTAGGCGGACTACTGCCTAAAAACAAGTTGATACGTTAATTCATAGAGTTGCTATATCTTTACTTTGAGATAGATATTTATTACAATTTCTACCATAAATCAGTTTCAACATAATTGATTATCAGCAGATTATGGCATAAATTCATTTTCAATCTTCCGTGAGTTATGGCTTTGCTTTTCGTCTGTAACTACTGTAACAATAAGGGGATCTTCTTCGTTTGTAGATGCGTTGCTTTTAGTATCAATGGTACTTTCGTCTTCCACACCTTCACTCTCATTTCTTGTCAAAACACTAACACTGCCACTATTACAGCTGTGGAATTCCTCAACTGGTGAAACTTCTTTCGTATGCACCTCTTCAAACCTTGCAGTGCTTTCTGGTTCTCCTGTTGTAGAAGAGAGTAGTCCCTTAGCAACTGTCGGATTTTCGGGAGCATTCTTGACAAATATTATGCGATTGTAAGATCTCCACCGTTGAAAGAACTGCGTATACATCTTACACTGTACGTACATAAAAAACACGCCTCCAGTAAAGCCTATTGCAACAATAAGCAATTTAGTCCAAAACGGCCACTCCAAAACACCTGAATTCATTTCTTCTGTAGTTCGATCTAGAAGGACATAAAGTGACCACACGACGCAGGTGATGGCGATTACGTGGAATGTGATGGAACACAGGATTTTCCGTCGCTCTACTGGAGAAACTCTCAACTTTTCCCACTGGAATAAAAGAAGAATCTCTATACGTCTAAAGATTTAAAATGCTTGAACATTTGTTTTATAAACAATAAATTATAAAAACTCAAACGAACTGCACATATACGACATTGGCCGGCAAATTACTCGTCACGTTTATTGCTTTAACCAAAACATAATGTTTTCAGAGCCTAAAACTAGGCTCTCAAAGTTTAAACTCATTGTACTGATGTTCAAGTTTCTATTGATAAAATTTTCATCCCATTACTCAGATGAAAACTATTCAAACAAACCCCTTAAAATTTTTAACACCAGAATCGTGACATTTTTAGTGCTTTTGTGCCATATATAAACTGTTGAAGACTTTCTTTTAGCGAAAATGATTTAAATAACTTACTATTCAAGTGGTCCGTCTCAGAACTCTTTCCCGCGTGTTGGAATTGGTATTATGACCAAAAACATCGTTAACAGCGTAGGTACCCATCTGATGACTTAATGCCTTCTACTCATTATATAATTTAATCCTTTATTGTACTGATTTACGACATTTAATACTTCTAGCCAGTTTCTTATACAGCTAGAATAATCTTACTTTTTAAATTCTGTTTAGCTCTTATTTATTATATCTTATTGTGATCAGAAGCTCTTGATAATACATTTATATAGAATCACTGTAAAGATGTTCCAGATTAGTATTAAAATTGTTTAGGAAGCACATTTTCGAATCCGGATCTCTATAGTGGTTCTTTTTCAAGCAGTTTTTAATGTATCATATTATTGCGGTGTTCTGCTACCTTGAGGGGGGATTCAAATCTATCAATTTATTATTACAAAGCATTTGAAATGACAAATGGAACAGCAAGAAAAAGAAGTGTTACTAGAGAGTTTCAATGAAAATAAAAATGTATTCATACACGTTACGAAAATATATGATGCTCTTTTCACGTTTTACGTAGATGAAGGAAACATCCATTCAATAATTTTGCGAATCATTATTTTACGAACTGTCATTCACAACATTGTTAAACTGTTGAAATACTCAGCATGTCTAATTGACAAAATATGTTGAATGTAGTCTATTATTTACTCAAAAGAGAAAAAGGAAATACAGTCAATTATAATATATATAATTCGATCAAAATTACTAGTGCTTTTAAGCATTTAAATTTGCCGAACGAAAGTTGCGTGGAAAAAAAAAAGCTAAGCAGAATTCTTTAAATGCTATAAATTGAACATTATTATTTAGTTATACTGTTTTAGAATTTTCGAGTAAAGCTAATAGCCTGGCACGGCCTAGTAGTTACGGCTCTTAACTCGCAATCTGCGGGTTATAGATTATCGAATCCTCATCACCGAACATGTTCACCCTTTCAGCAGTGAAGGCGTTATAATGTTACAGTCACTCACACTATGCATTGGTAAAATAGTAGCACACTGTTAAATTAGGGACGACTAGCGTAGATAACCCTCGAGTAGCTTTGTGCGAAATTGAAACCAGACTCAAAGCTACACGAAGCTAATTTTGGACTGATGGACCAGAAGGAAGGCAGTTGGTCAAAAGAACCCTCCACCAACAGACGAACTACTTTTGTCTGACCGAATAGTGGGATTTGACTGTAACTTTTAAAATGCACCCACCGCTCCAAGTTGCGGAGTGCGTTTTTGATGCAATGGGGCACGAACCGTGAATTCACGGATTCACAGTTCAAGCACGTTAACCAACAGGCACGCCCGACCTGTTCTGTTACATAATGAAATGTTTAGATTTCGAAAGTACAAAGTGCTAAGTGAATCATATTTGTTGAAAAAATACGAACTTTAACTCAAGATATGGCTAACACACATTTATACGTATGTATGTAAAGAACATTCGTATAAACATAATTAATTGATATTTAATAGTCGTTGTATATTAGTTCACATTTAGGTTTTTACATTAACGTCAATAAACACGGTTGGACTCCCAAATGATGGCCTACTGTAGACTACTCATCTCCCACCTTTCACCTCTATCAAACACAGGAATTAATTTAGTTTGTAAATTATGTTAAAAGATAATTACAAGTATTCAAGTACTAACGAACTCAACGATATAATTCACATTGGATTAGCATCTGACCAGTATCCCTTAAAATTGCTGATACACTCGAAATGGCAAAACTAAGATATCAATACAGTTTCATTTTCACACTCAGAAAACTTTGTAAATAAAGTAAAAAAGGATAACTTTTCGAGCTCAGCGACAATATTTTAAAGAAAAAGGTAATTTTTGACTAAACACTAAAGTTAAAATTTTTCAAGACTTCAGAATAAGGAAAGGACACGTACTATATTTTCCACAGACTTACATGGAGCAGTATCTTGAAAACAGAACTCAAAATTGAGCGACTGAGCCTATGACTGTGGTATTCTCAGGAACACTGATAACTAAAGGTTCGACACAAAAACAAAATTGAGCGACTGAACCTATGATTGTGGTATTCTCAGGAACACAGATAACTAAAGGTTCGACACAAAAACAAAATTGAGCGACTGAACCTATGATTGTGGTATTCTCAGGAACACAGATAACTAAAGGTTCGACACAAAAACAAAATTGAGCGACTGAACCTATGATTGTGGTATTCTCAGGAACACTGATAACTAAAGGTTCGACACAAAAACAAAATTGAGCGACTGAGCCTATGATTGTGGTATTCTCAGGAACACTGATAACTAAAGGTTCGACACAAAAACAAAATTGAGCGACTGAACCTATGATTGTGGTATTCTCAGGAACACTGATAACTAAAGATTCGACACAAAAATTGCAGCAGAACTAATTTAAATTTCTGAATGAAGAAAAGTTTGTCTGTTTTCGGATATTCGCGCAAAACTACTCGAGGGCTATCTGTAATAGTTGTCTCCAATATTGAGCTGATAGACTATCAGGAAAGGCAGGTAGTTAACAGTATCCATCGCCAACTCTTGGCCTGCTCGTCTCACCGAATAGTGAGATTTGATTGTCAATTTTATTACACACTCAAGGCCCCATAGTGGAGAGCGCGATTTTTATTTCTTTCTTTTCTTTTTTTTTCGGTAATGGGACATAAAAGTTGGACTCACAGAGTTGGCAAAGTATTTCCAGTCCTGGCTTTCGTTGTAAGATGTCAAATTCTTAACATTTCTGGCAATCTTGTTTGTCATCTTGAACTTCAGAAGGTCAGCTAGTTTGTTTGGAATTTTTTATATCCTATTTACAGTCTGTTCTGAAAGAAGATTTTAGATATGAAACTTTTTAAACTATGTATTGCTCTGAATAAGTACTAATTCTACTGGCATACCTATACACACATAATTTCGCGAAGGTTTCAGTGCAACTGGTTTTGCATAGAACATACACTCGTCTATTAGGGAGCATGAACTATTGCCTAGCGGAAATACCCTAAATCTAAGATGGCTACCAATCACATACGAGTCCTTCATCAGTAGCTGTTATAAAACAGTTTGTTTGTTTGCAGTTAAGCACAAACCTACACAAGGAACTATCTGTGCTGTGCCCACCACGGGCATTGAAACCCGGTTGCTAGAGTTGTAAGCTGTGCCACTGGGGGACGTTATAAAACAGACCCCGGGTCTAATCAGAAAGGTTTGTTTGTTTGAATTTCGCGCAAAGCTACACGAGGGATATCTGCGGTAGCCGTCCCTAATTTAGTAGTGTAATACTAGAAGGAAGGCAGCTAGTCATCAGCCCCACCGCCAACTCTTGGGCTACTCTTTTACCAACGAATAGTGGAATTGGTAGTCACTTTATAACGCCCCCACGGCTGAAAGGGCGAACATGTTTGGTGGGACGGGGATTCGAACCTGCGACCTTCAGATTGCGAGTCAAGCGCCTTAACCACCTGATGTTACAAACTTGTATGAAGTTTAATAAAGACTCTCTCTCTCTCTCTCAGAGATAAATATGTCTTCGGAGTCATTAGAGTACATAAATGTCAACAGAATGTGCAAATTTAACACACTTCAATCTCTAAGAGAATCTAATGAAAAGGTTGAAGACTATGATTTAAAGACAACCGTAATCCAGAATTCTACTAAGTTTGTTTAATTTTTACTAATGGATATTCGGATTCTAAAAATTATTTTAAACTTACGAGTCACTGTACACTTTGCACGTATACGTTGACAGCGTGGTTTGAAATGAGGACACTCATGCACAGTCACGCACTATTATTATTGTTTTTAGGTTGTCTAATGACACAGGAACAGACTAGTGAATGCAGACTACATCGACAACAGAAGACTCCCGAAACTCCCGTTTTGTTACATACTGCTAAGCAACCGGTCAACCTGCACATTTTTCGAGCAATATTATTTCAATAAAACAATACTTAAAGATGATGACAAAACTATGTATTTTGATAGACAAGACTGAAACTGTTGCAGTCAATACCGATGCATCCTGGTTAATGAATCATATCCTATACTACGAAGTTGCAGCTACGTTCAACCTATAATCATATCGGCATTAGAAAAATGAAAGGATCTTAAGTCCATCATAACTTACAAGGATGAAAAATGTTCAGAAACAATTGCCTCTTGAAGGTAAAAATAAATATTGCAAGCGTTACAGGCGATCAAGACAATTTTTATCAAAGCAAAAAAAATTTTTTCAACGATATTAAAATGCATGAATACAAGTGTGTATGAGTAAAGATATTAAGTTTCATCCAAACTGCACCACCTATAACCTCAGTAGGTAGATAAAGGTACATTACCTATACATTGCCACAGTTATCTGAAATATTCCTTTAAGTATGGCAATTTAATGCTTAATCTCAATTACTCTGTCTTCTTACCTTGTACAGAGTTCAAGTTCAATAATTTCAAGCTGTAAAATTGTATGAATATGCCAAGTTCAGTTTGTAGTATCATTACAATAGAATAGTTGAGCAACTGTCAAGGTCAAAATAAACGGGTATTTGCACTATCACACAAGCCAAAAGAAAACAAAGGCGGTTCGTTGTAATACAGAACACACA